GGCCTAAGAGGCAAAATTAACAATGGTATACTTCATTTGCCGAAATATAGCTCTGTTTCTACTGCTACTGCTACTGCTACTCCTACTGCTACTGCTACTGCTACTCCTACTGCTACTCCGACTCCGACTCCGACTCCGACTCCTAAAAATAAAAATAAAAATAAAAACGATATCAAGCTCTTAAAATGCAACTTACTATTAACGTTTCTTTACTCATAAGCGAATTTCTTACTACTTCCCTGCTAGCAGAATAGCTCTTCTATGAACGTCTGTTTTTGAAGTTAATGAGAGTACAAATCTTTATAAAAAATAAAATAAAATAAAATAAAAATAAAATAATAAAAAAATCAATAATTTATTGAGCATTACCGGCAGAAACATACCGAGTTGAGTGTAGTACGCTTGAGAGTGATACGAAAGCGGAAGTTTTTCCGTACCTTGTTGCTGTCATTGCTGCCCTCTTGACCCCCACCTATTGTCATAACTGAATAAGCATGTCTGCTAGACTTACCGGAAGGTGTAAGATATGAAAATATAGGCAAACAGGAACAGCAAAAAGAAGAAATGTTTAAACGCAGGCTGAACAGGCTATTATCCTGCGGCTTAAAAGACAATGATATTTTTACAAATATTTAAAATGTCTCCTTTTAACTTTAAAAGCTTAATAAATGTTTAGTAACCGTTGTGTATCCACTGGGAGTTGATTTTTTCAAAGCTATTTATGCCAAAAATTCGCTTCTTTCGAAAATGTTTCTCCCCCGTAGTAAAAATTTAATAAACATTTTTCGAAAAAAAGCGAAATTGCGGAACTAATTGAAGAACTAATTAATTACCTGGCCTTTTTCAAGCCAAAATAGAGAAAGAAAATCAAAAGAAAATTTGGCATGGCACGATTCAACTTTATTGCTCTCGTAACCAACATCACTGCTATCGCCATATATTATTTCATTCCCTTAGGGGATGATTGCAGTGCAAACCATCTATATTGATGATATTGAAATTTCGCTAGCTTGTACTAAATTTGGGGGGAGGGGGGGGGGGGGAGGGGGGTGACCAAGGCTTCTTAAAATGTTCAAAAGTGCATCAAGAGTATCAGTAGATTTTATTATAATTTTGTTAAACAGTGAACCGACGAGAATTTTTACCAAATATATCTTAATGTTGCCAAAAGGTAGAAAGGTAGGAACGTCGTATATTATCATCATATTATTCCTACCAATAAATGTATTTGGGGATCGACGTGTTCGTATATCATTCATGAAGTACCATATCACTATTGGAAGCCTCACAATTAAGTCTGAATTTTATCTTGATATTGAACGTGGAGGTCTTATATTAAATCAGGTTATCGAGCTCCAAAATGTGCATGCCGAATTTTTCACAACACCAAGTCTTAGTTCACATGTGACCGGTCACGCGCGGTCCTCAGACCATTAGAGCCATCAACAAGAATCAGTTTGAAAATATTTTTTCAGCTTCCAGGGTATCATTTTCCCGGGGGGGGAGGTTACTCCGCCAGAATTTAGGTAGGGTTGTTCCGCTGGGATTCTGAAAGGGTACACTGTTTATCATAAAAAAACTCAAATTTGTGGACCCTGTTTATGACAAAAGATATAATTTATTGCACTGAGTTCCTGTTTCAATTATCGCGTATCGTTTTTTACGACTATAATAACCAGTTTCGGTCAATACGAAAGTAGAATCCCTGAATATGACAGGAAACTCAGGAAGAACTTGGCACTTGAGTGAAATTGCATACCCTGTTTATGATAAGAAGCTCGAAAAACCACACCCTGTTCAGCGGATCACCCCCGTATAGTCCATATATGAGTGTAACCCCCCCCCGGATCACTTCCCAGAGCGTTCTCTGGGTATCAATCACATTATATTAGTATCCTTCGTAATCTGTCACTACGATAAAGTCAGAAATTTCAATTCCTTATTTTCGAAGTTCTCCAGTAACGTGTTGTAAATACAAAAAAATATGGAAGCCATTTTGCCACCAACTGACCTAGTAACATGAATACTTTCATTTGTGTTTTTGGGATTCACTTCCGGCGATCTAGACAATTATCCTAATAAAGAAATCTAGAAATGAACTCCACGGCACAGTTAATAAAAAAGGATATCCTGCGTTTCTCTGTACAACTAAAGAAAGTAGTTTTGGACGTCAATTACATCACCTCCCACGTAACTAACCAACAAAGTTTAGTAATAAGCTTCAGCAAATTTAATTTAGACTCGTGCCTTGAAAGTGTTCCGTTAGTAAGTCTATGTGATGAATGTGCTGAATAGTGCTATAGAAAGATAAAAATACATTCTCAAATGGGAGGATGCATGGGATGAGAGTGGTTAAAATGGGAGGAGGAAAGGGGATATGGCCCCAATTTTTTTGTCTCATGTCTCTACATCAGTTTACCTCGAATTTCACCTATATATGCTGCATCCCTAGGGTTTTCTCATGAATTTCCCGTATTCCGTATACATCCCCAGTTTTCCCCTCGTCAATCCTTCATCGCTTCTCTGGCATGTCCCTACATCAGTCTACCTCGAATTTCACCTATGCAGCATCCCTTGGGTTTTCTCGTGAATTTCCCGTATTCCGTATACATCCCCAGTTTTTCCCTCGTCAATCCTGCATCGCTTCTCTCGTATTCCTACCTCTCGTTTACCTCGAATTTCTCCTATGCTGCATCCCTAGGATTTTCTCCTGAATATCCCGTATTCCGGCCTTATCTTATATCCCCAGGTTTCCCCCAGAAATATTCCCTATACTTTATTCTTTATATCTAAGGTTTTGCCTCGAATCCCGTACCGGTTCTCTCGTATCCATTAGGTTGGTTTTCCCTCGAGTTATCTATATCCCGTATACCATATCGCTTGGGATGCGTCTCAAATATCCCGTATTCCGCATCCTGTATCCCTTTTAAAATATGCTGCATCCCGTGGTTTTGTTAAATATATATTTAATTTTCTGTTATAAGGCATTCATTTTAGAGCAGTTTTCCTATGACTGCGAAAACGTCAGTACCGTATGCGTGCCTTGTCGCGATCGTGATGTTTTCTAGACTTTTGATCAGGGGATTTTTTTTCACGCAATGTGATTGGTCTGGCAGTTCCTTCACATTGGCGTGACCGTGTGCACGCCGTGTTCATGCCGTGTTTCGTGCATTTGATTGGTTGGAGATTAAATTCTCGTGCAGTGTGACTGGACTGGCGTATGCCGTGCCGTATGGCCCCCGTATTCGTGCTGTGAGCTTTTCACAGTTGTACGAAAACTGCTCTAACCAATGTTTGCTACTTGGGTTCTTCCCACGGTTCCTTGAAGGTATATTCATCAACAGCAGTCCACATATACATATGTAATTTTGATTACGATCCACACATCTTAATCGTTCTTTTATCATCTTTATCAACAACCGGCCAAGTCTTTAGAGATTAAAGGATCCTGATACAGATCATAAGATAGCTCAAAGAAAATATTCAAGGGATTTTCATGAGTTTAGATTGATACACGATCGGGGAGATCAATGGCGGCACTGGACCACCGTGGATTGGGTTTTAGATTAACAAAGCTTAAAACTGATTAGTATCAAAAGTAAAGGCTCGTCCAATTTTGACAACTTTCAAAACACCACTCGGGCTATAAACCCTGAATCGTACTCGAGATTGTAGGTGCGATTTTTTTGTTTAAAATACACTCGACGAAATTGAGAATCTTTACTGGGACTCTACTTAGTACAATTGAGGATTTAATTGTACTCCTTTTTTCCAATCAGAATCGAAAAATTTTGTTGAGCGTATAAAAATCGATGTAAAAAAGAAAACTTAACCCCAGTTAAATTAACCAATCCAAGGCATTGACTTTACTAACAATTTAACTGTCACACCTCTAAGACTGATTACGCATACGTCAGTTCAAAATATCACTTTTATCGCATATTATTCATAAAACAACCTCCGGGCTTATCAAAGTCATGAATTTAACCGACAGATTGAATGGAAAATTAACGGTTGAGATTTGCAAAGGGTGAAAGAAGTTACAAACTCGGAAAAAAACTTAAAATCAGGGGAGAGATCCAACTAATTCTACTCGCATGTGATGTCGAGTCCAGGAATCGAATTGGAGGCCTCAGAGGTGAGAGGCGAGTGCGCTACTGCTACTAATCACAAAACAACTCGTTATTCCCTGTCAATGGAGCACGAATTAATTCTATCCATTGCCTGCCTAAACTATCTTGAATTTTCCTTCGTGATTTTACGCTGCTGTTGCAGGTAGATTTAAAAATCCCACCTAAAGACTACCTTCGATAAATATGTCTCAACTCTTGGCGAAAGTGTTACATTCCTCCTTCGTTCCATCGATATCTTTCGACCCAGAATTGGTTGTATGTATCGTAGTTGCGCTTTTAATAATGACGGTGAGGTTCGATCAGTGCGCCCCTGCAACTATTTTATCCTTTCAATTACTTTATGCGGTCCATTGTGCTCAGTCTTTTGAGAAAACCGTTTCCTCTTTGATTCATTTGTCAAACACGAAAAATCTACCAAAATTACAGCCGGCTTACTCGTCAATTTCCTTTATCCATTTCCTCTCATTTTTTGCTTGTAATATTTTTTTCTTTAGCACTTGAAATCAATTTTGTCGGTTGTACAGTGAATTCTTAACACTAAAGCTCGCATTTTTCCTTTTTCCTTTTCCTCTCATTTTTTCCTTGTAAATGTATTTCTTCGGCGCTTAATGATTCAATTATGTCGGTTGCATTGTGAAGTCTTAACACTAAAGCTCGCTTTTATCCAACTCTCCATCTGATTAACATTATAATATTAATCGCTTTACGCTGCAATCCACATACTATACTGAGTCATGTCGCAGGGGATTCAAAGAAGCGCCTTCTTTTCGTCTAACCAGAAACTCCAGATCGGAAACACATTACTCTTCTTATCGATTAATGAACGCTATCAATGCTTAAACGATAACGATTAAGACCTATTATTTTACAGTTATAGATCCCACTTATCACCTGCTAACGTATGTTCTATTTGTCTCAGGTTATTAAACAGGGGAACCGGCTTTCCATTCGAGTCAGCCTGGACGAATAATTAGACATCATTTTCATTGGACACGTGCGTGTAACGCCGACTGGCTATTAAAAAACACTAATTTTTGCAAATGAGTCATCGGCTTGGAGGATTAAAGAAGAAGAGGCTTCTCCTAGCAAGGTAAGTTTATGACGAATGTTTATGATTTGAGCCCATGGCTCCGATCTATTTGATCAGCTTTGTCCCACGTCACACTTACTATCGTTCTCAATAACGTTAATTGCACGTACTTTCGCTTGTATAGCTCATAAATAAATATGGTTTGATCGCATAGAGACCAACATATACACGTTCTCGTTGGTTTATTGAGAAGAACTTTGGAATGCGCTGAACCAGAAAGACAGAATTCTCCGTTGATCCCCGTTCCAAAGGGTATGTGCATATATGTGACTGAAAACTGAAAGATTTCGAAAGTTCAGTAAAATGCTGTATTGATAACTTATCCAAATAGATATTGATATCATCAAGGGGCCGGAATAATAGAAGAACGTATTCAGTTACAAAAGCGAAGAATAAGCCTAGATTTACGGCTACTAACAAACTTACATTGGGAACAGAGTTCGATTCGCTTCGGGTAGATTTGGACAAACACGTCACTGAGTGAACTGTTCGCGTCAAAACCGCGCGAACGCCAAGAATATTTAACCTCTCCAGGGTAGTGCAGATTAAGCAGTTCAAAATGGACATTCAATCCAAAATGGATCAACAATACATTTATGTATAGATATAAATATATGCTATATGTATACATATTAAATGGGATTGCTTCTATAGATTTTTCAGTATTCCCCTTTTGTCGGACGGTCCTTCTTTGTTGTTACATGATATCGAATGTCAATGTGCTAAATATTATAAGTAAATATTCACTCGCTCTTTTCACAAGGACGACTGAAGATGATGAAAGTTCGTACACTTTTTATTCATTTATTATCTTAACATTTGTACAGGGTATAATGATAATACTGTCTCGCCGGGTGAAAATCCTTCTTCAAGACGCAAATGCAATTCGGGATGATAAAATTCGTAGATGTAATAGGGTAATACGGACAACAGATATTATACTTTCTTTCATGCCACAGTACTTAAAAAGGAAAGAGAAATTAAACTGTCACTTTCGAAAGAGAAAAAAATACGCAAGATCGATGAAAAGGATTCCGTTCCATTTCCAAGTGGAAATGATAACCATTGTCGATTTCGGTGGTCATCATCGCCATCGTCTCGTTCTTTCTTTTAATTCATCTGGCACATTCTGCCATGCCTGAGGATATTTCAGATCTTGCTAAATTTCCATATAGATTAGATTAACGGGTTTTCTCTTTGTGAGCTCTTTCCAGAAGCCACCCGTTGAAAAGGATTTATCATACATGGACTTTTTCTCAGTTGGACAGACTAAAGTCTGAATAAATGTCGATTAGATATGATAGATATAGCTTTGATCCAAATACTGACGAAAAGAACTGTATATTATTAAAGGTGTTCAATTATTTCTTTCATTTAGTAATTTTTAGAATATTAGAAAGTTAATTAGTAGAAGTAATTTCATAAGTATGTTTACACAAAAATCCTGATCAGTCTAGCTGTCAAACAAAGTTATTATTATTAAGAAGCCTGTACATAGACCAGAATGCATGAAGATATCTTTGTTCCGCAAAGTCCATTGGAACATCGAGGACAAGACTTCCAATTCCTCTTTTATTCATTGCTATGACGACTAGCTGCTGATTTATTCCCTGTAGGAGTACCTGATAACGATTTCAAGAAATAAATTGAAAATATAAATTAGTTAAGCTAATAAAGCTGGAGATCTTATTTTCTCTCTCGCAAACGTCAAGGAAGATCACGTGATTAACGTTTTGCCGCGTTTGCCGTTCGCCTTCCCTCGTTTCAACGTTAAGGCTAATATTTTCCCGTTTATCGTAAGCGCGGTAATTAATCTCTCTAATAATATCAACTGATAACGCTTGTAAAAGTCTTTAGGGGGAGTTAGCAGTAGCTATACAGTCAGGTAGTTCATATAGCAAAAACATCCAACGTGATATTGTATATCTGCGTAGTGTACCCAGCGCCGGGGATCCATCCGGAAAAGAAAAGGGTCACGGAATGTTCATTTACCATGATGACGGCCGCAATCATTAGCTAGACTGCGACCAGTTCCACTTTTCCATCGGACTCACATTCTCGTTCCCAGATCCTCCTCGGCTGTCGTTTCTCTCCTTCAGAGGCTCTGGGAAACCCAACAATTCTCGCAATTTAATTGGCTTTTAAGAAGAACAATAGATCTACATTTTGATTCGATAATCGATGTTTTTTTGTTCGCCATCGCAATATCCTTGCTTCCGGTTGTAGGGTTTCCCACAGGCAGCCCAAACAAGGTTCCTGTGTATGGTTTATAAGGGAATGTATGAGAGTTATGATTAAGGTCATGAAAATAAAATGTTTCACTCAACAATTTGCCTCAAAACTTGCTCCAGTTGTTGCTTTTACTTTGTTCAGTCTTCTGGCGAAGTTTCAGCGCGATTTGAGGCCGTTTAGTGGTTTTTTCAAAATCCGCTCTTCTCTACCTAAATAATGGGTAGAGAAGAGCGGATTTTGAAATTATGCAAAAAAACCTTGTTTGGGCTGCCTGTGGGTTTCCCAGAGCCTCTGACGGGGAGGAACGACAACCGAGGAGGGTCTGGGAACGATAGTGTCGGACTCAGTAAAGACGAGTGTTTTATGGGATTCCTGTGGACCTTCTCCCCGCTTACTTTGACCCAATCTCCGCGCGAGTCCACAGGAATTGCTGAAACACTCTTCTTACTGATTCAGGAGGGAAAAAAGGGACTGATCGAAGTTTGGCATTAACGAGAGGGAATGCTTAGGTAATACTGGAAGTAGCATAACGTGACAAATGTTTGTTTCTGGGTTAAAGACCTCCAAGTCAATATCCTAATTTATTCCCTGAAACACTTCATTATTTTTTACCGTTTTATTTAGTCCATTAATGTTGAACTCTTTCATTTGTGCCGCTACTAAGACTATAGGTTCTACGACTCGGTAGACAATATGACGATTGACAGACAATGATATATATTAATACGTCATTTGTTTTGCATTTTATCCGAGTCGTGAGAAGACGTGTCAGAATGAAGAATATCCTTACCCAAGCTGATTAGCACGTATAGCCTACAATCCTGTATTTTGTCTATAGTGATTGATTCGAGATTAGTACAGATCTTATTTTAACAAGATTGCAATAAGTATTGTCAATCCCGCATGGATATATACTTAGGCGGAAATCAAGGCGGATCAAGCATACTTTACTTCGTATCTAATCCTAAGATCTTTAATAAAAAATTCTAAAAATTTTTGAATTTTGATAAATTTTGATATGTTTTTTTAATATTATTTTTTATTATTGTCGTTTTTTCCTCGTCAATTTTAATGTTAATCATGTTTGTACTGTACTATGTAAATAGTATGGAGAGGAGACATCAATTGGGACGAAAGATCTGGTTTCTTCGCCAGTCACAAAATTTGTATGTCTCAAGTTTTATAAAATGTATCATTTAGTATGTTTATATTGTGATAGATAAACTAAACTAAACTAAACTAAACTAAACTAAACTAAACTAAACTAAACTAAAAAGAATTTGATTTATTCTAA